TGCTGAAGGGGAATGCAGGACATCTGGGTGGGCCCTGGAGACCCCTGGGGTGCTGGAGCGGCTGCCATGCCCTGACTTGTACTGGGTCCTACCACAGGGGCCCCTGATAGTGCTGGCTGCTACCTTCTATATCCTCATTGCTCAGATGAGGAAACCGAGGCTCAGAGAGGTAAAGTGACCGCCAAGGACACCCAAGTGACGCACGGCACAGCCAGGACTTGACTCAGGGCTGTGTGGCCCCCACCTGCAGGTCTCTGCGCAGTCCTGGCTCACGTGGAGCAGTCTCCCCACTCATGCCAGTGCCGTCCCCACGGGCCCCGCCCTCCTGCCAGTGTGGCACCACAGGCCCCTCGGGTCAGGACAGCCAGCTCACCTGGAAGGAGGGCACCTCTCCGTCCCCAGGGGCCACGGCCTGCCAGGGCGCGGGCAGGCTGGCGTTGAGGGAGAGCCTGTAGATGGCGGGGTGGCCTTTACTCTTTACTTTGGAGATGTACACGGTGCCCAGGGAGTCTAGGACAAGTGCAGAAGGAAGGGTAGCGAACGGTCACCTGACGGCCCACAGCCGTCCCCAGGTGCAGGCTCTGCCCTCCCTACTGGACCACCCACGGCAGTGAGTGGGGTGGGGGTGGCACGGGCCGTGGGGGGCAGTGACAGAGGTGATGGTGAAGTGCTGGACTAGGGTGGCCACCCACGGACAGGGCCACAGTGTGAACAGGGGGCCTGGTGCTGGTGACCATGGCGGGAACAGGTGGTGGCAATGTGTGGGGTGACAGAAGCAGACACCCCTGCCCTGCAGGGCTGGTTCCTGCAGTACTGTGTCCCTGCGGGTCCCCTCTGGTGGAGACCCCAGCAGGGAAACACCAGCCTCCAGGGCCCAGTCACCCCGCCAACACTCGGGAGGCTGTGGCAACCAGGCAGGGGAGTGGCGGGAGGCCCAGCTCTGGCCAGGGGAGCCGTGGGCCCGAGTGCGCCCCACACCCCGTCCCCCTCCGCCAAGGAGGACAAGGCTGTGGGAGGATGGAGGCTGAGCTTCGTCGGCTGCCTGTGCAGGGTCCCCAACTCCCGCTCCAGGAGGGCCCCGGCCCTGGCCCCAGCTCACCCTGCGGACTGGCCTCAGGCCGGCTGGCCCAGGGGGCCCCAGAGCCCCGCTTCCTTTTCTCCAGGGACGTCCGGATGCTGTTCTGCAGGCTGTGGGGCTTCTCCTGGAACAGACCTGACCCCCACACTGTGTCAGGGACAGCAGGGCCTCCCTGGCTGGCCCAGTGGGTAAAAGGCAGAGGCCGGGAT